TGATGAGGAATTGGGCTCCAAGCCCTTCCTCAGGCTGTACGATTCCAGAGAGTGTCTGTGCTAGAGCCAAGAGGGCTTATGCCCTCCCAGAGACCATCCCTCAATGCCCTGTAGAAAGCCTTTGCAGGTCAAGTTCAGTTAGGATGTCTTATGTCATGGAGGGCTTTGAGTCCAGATAGTTTGGTGGATCTTGGCCTGGGACACTTGAGTTCCAAGACTCAATGTGGAGCAGTGAAACAAGCATGTGATAAATATCTTAAAGAATTGGTATGCTTTTATTTTAAGATTCTCTGAAAACTCCCCCAAAAGCCCAGCAACACCTCTTTAAGCTGGTGAATGTGAAATGAATAAAGTATCTAGGTTCCTGACTTGATGCAGTGCAGTTATATTTTACAGACGGCCACTCCATGTGGAAGCATAGATTCACTCTCCTATCATCACACTAGGTGGTAAGAGATGTACTTGACCAAATATAGAACAAAACTTGTCACAAAGTTATGAGAATAATATTGTGTTTGTTTAAAAAAAATAAGAATCTTACATAAAGCCATGCTACTCCTTTAAGATATCACACAGTGGGTTTGCTGCTAGTTTGATTTTGAGTCAGTTAGCAAGCCTAGGCTTGTCACGCAGGATCTGCCATTCAGGCAGGCATTGTTTATGGAAAGAAAAATTGCATTTTTAGCATGATGACACAATACTAACTGGGTGTGTTCAGATCAAGTTCACTTTAATATTTCTGCAAACTATCTCTCCAATTTACCTTGGGTTGTACGACACAGTCACATACCAAACAATCTATTATACTGAAGATATTAATTACCAAATTTATAATTGATTACTGGAACCAGGTTACTTATGAGAAAATGGAAGTATAACATTTTAGCACAAGGAACCTAAAATATTGTCATTTATTTGATTAAGGTAAAGCTGGATTTTAAATATGGCCCATTCACATTGTACAGAAGCAAGAGCTAAATGATCGTTACTGTTTGCTATGATCGATGCCAGCAAAGACAGACAGAAAATGCTTAGCTGAAAAGGAAAAAGGGTAAAAAAAAATCATTATATTTGTCTATACTATAACGAAAAATACACTCTGAAGTGTGTTCCAAGGCAGTAAGAAATCTCAGGTTGCGACGACATTGATAAATTATTTAAATTTCACTCTTGCGTCTTGTGAGGTCATTCTAACCCTTGTTACACATTCCAGACTGTGTGTCAAGAACATAAGAAAGCATGGACTGAGAAAACAAGATTTGGCCATCAAGCCTGCTCCTTCCACAGTGCTTCTGCATTTGCTTACAAAAAACGTTACTACACTTTACAGTATATTCTGTGAAACACTTTGTAACATCTCAACAACATGACCAAGTAGTATGAAATGCAAAGATTATATACATACATATATACACACTTATAATATATACACCCATACATAAGGTGCACATCTCTGCAGGTTATCCTGGAGGAGTACAAATAGAGTACTCATCTATCCATAGGGATTTTAGCCTATAACCATTTTTGCTTACCTGGCAGTCTTTTAAATAGTGATTTATTACGCATTGAAATACCATAAACAACAATACGCAATAGACAGGAGCATTGCAACAGAATTAGGGTTGACTTAAACCTTCTAGCAGGGAGGGAGGTGAATATATTCCTCAATGTCTCACATTTCTCAAATGTTCAACTTTTGGTGACATTTTCTTTAATGGCCAATATTCTATAGTTCAACCTTTTGGCAGCATTTCACAGAGATTGTTTTCTGTTTTTCATTGTTCGTCTTTCACCCTGGAAATAATCCATCATTTCTCCTCATGCCACCAATCTCGAAAATAATGCAAATTGGGAAAACCATTTGCAATCCTGCTGGATCAGAACATTAGTGAACTGTTCAGATTAGTGTTCTCTTTGTGATTCTCTCAGGGCTCCAAGGTGCTACCCTGCTTGAAGGGCTCTATGTAAATGCAAGTTGTTGTTGCTATCTGGGAAGATGCTGACCAGAAATCACCTGCTCCCTGAAGAAGGGAAAATTAAGGAGCATCAACCTCCATTGCTCCAATAGAAGAGCATTGGAGGCTTGGCTCTCCAATCAGTCTGGAAATAGTCATGGAATTTGCTAAATAAGTACCACCAACTTTTTTTAAAAAAGTAACAATATTTGATATGAGCACATCCTAATGTCTACTGATTGAGAAAATCCTATTACTGTAGTAACTCACATTGCCAAGATCAGTAAATTTACTAACAATGATAGAAAAATCCCTGAGGTGTCCTACAAACAACCCGAGCATCATTAGACCCATCTCTAGCAGAGGTTCAACGACAGCTTGTTGAGCTCGTCTATGGCAGTTCTTATATAGCATGATTTGGTTCATTTAAATTACAGTCCATTTGGCTCTTAATCTAGGGGAGATTCAGATAGCATCGTAAAAACTGAACCTTCACAAGAGGGAGAGGAGGATAGAGGGAATATGGGAGGGAGCAAGGAGTGGGTGGAGATTCGTGTGGAGAAAAACACCGACAAAAACCAGTTTGGCTGAGTGGCTTGTTTCCTTGCTGCACATTCTTTGTGCAACTTTGTAGAAATTCCACCTGGGTCCAGATTTACTCTATCAATTTTAAACTGTCTAGAATTTGACAAATTCTTAAATATAGCTTTAGTTTTGATGCTGGTTTTCTGTCAGTTCTTTTATATTGACATGTCATTGTGTTGAATTGAAAGGTTATATACTTAATCCCCAATGGTTAGTGACATAAATAAAGCAAGGAGAAAACAGAGCCCATTCCAATTGCCCATCTGTAATACTGTAAACATTGTCCTCATGACTCATTCTTGGACATGCCTATTGGATATTATGGCAGGCAGATTTGGTTGCATTTTCATTTACTAATCAATTATAGCACTGCTAAAGGACTGAGCCCATGTAGAAGAAATCCCAATCTAAACCATTTTTATAACCCTCAATTTTTCTATTTGAATGAGTTAATAATTAATCTGCGTTGGAATAGTGTTCCTTTTTGCTGCTTTTTTCCCATTCAGAAGATGTCCATTAATTGGTTGCTACTGTACTCATTGGCAGTAGTTCCAGTTAAAATGTAACTTAATGTTCAGTATAATGATTGCCATTGTGTTCTCAACCACTGCAATCAAATTGCATGCTCAGTGCAGTTATTCTACCATAAGGCTTTACAATGCCGTTCTTATCAGAACATTTAACATTTATGCTAAAGTTGCCACATATTTAAATGATCAGATTTTAGAACATCTAATTAAACAAAATCGTTGCGATATTCCTCTCATTGTGTGACTGTAATCCCAATTGCTCTCGTCATTTTCGTGGAATTATCCCACACTGATGTGTACCAAGTAAAATACTCTTACCATTTATCTTTCTTTATAGGTATTGTTACTCAGTGTGTCGATAAACTTAATGCACCTTCATGATTTGCATGGTCAAAGCTAATTAAATCAGTGCCTTTTTAAACATTTTTATCGAAATCATCTTTATCAGTCTACAATACCACAATAATTTAAGGATCTCGCCATTGTCCAACTGACGCCTTGGATAAACAAAAAACAAGGAGCAGAGAGAGCTGCAGATGCTGAGAGTGTCCTGCAAGATGCTGAGATAATGGCAGAGAATTTCAGTCAGCAATCATATGCAAAATAGCAGCTCCAATCATGAATATAGCAATGCAGCACAAACACATTCAAAGACTTGTTTCTTAGATATCTGAACCCACCATCCAAGGCAATGATTGCCAGTGAGGTTACTCTAGGATAAAGCACATACAGAGTCTAGTACTGAAGTACAGTTTTACCAGTTTTAATAGACTATTTAATTCAGTGTCCTGAGGAGAAACATAACAATCATTTCAACAAACAAAATGAAAACAAACCCAGGTTTGTTACACAATATGTGTAATCAAATCCAAACTTGAAACAAGGTAGGCTTTTTGGCAATGGAATTTCTGGTATGCCACATTAATTATTTGTTATTAAATCCATTTAATAAAACCTCACTGTGCCAAGTACAATCAATCATTGCAACATATTGTAATACAATATGCTTCACAAAAAGTTTTGAGCACGTTTGATAAGAATTTTTGCAGTTTCAGACCACTGATACAGTGTATATAAAATTAAAATGCCTAAATATTACCTTGAAGATATTGCTTAATAAGATTGAGTTCATTTATATTTTCTTAAAAGCCACTCGTTGTATAATAAATATTAATAATAATACTCACAATTACCATATTGAAATGTTGCAAAGCGCTTTCCAGAGTTTTCTATAAATTGTATTTGAAGACGAATGTGGTAGCCAATTTGTGTACAATAATGCCCCACAAACAGCCAGGAATAAGTATTTTTTTTAAATCTAGAGGATTATTGGCTTGGACAATTATACAAATTAGATAATATTTGTTTTAAGGCAAATTAGATAGAATTCTTTTAGCAGCTTTTTCATTAGGAAATTATATTGTGGGATACAGTATATAATTTGGGACATGACATGTGCATGCGACTGCCAGGATGGTGTAAGATGAACTGGGTCTTCTTTCGTCTAGCAATTCTTATGTTCTTAAGGCTAAAGAGTCCCTTCTCTTTTTGAATAGTAACATGGGTCCTGTTATGCCCACTTGAATGCCAGAAGAGATCTGAGTTTAACATCTCATCAAAATGACACCACCAATGATGCAGTGCATCCCGATCAATGCATTGAAGTTTCAGTCTAGATTATGAGCTCAAAGTAAGTCCCAATATAGGGTTTGAACTGAATCTGTCGGTAGAAAGGTGACTTATTCCATACATAATTATTACATATGCTTGACTTGAACTCAACCTGCTGCTTGGAGGTCAAGTCTCAGCCATTCAAACTATTCATTATTTCTTCAACTAGAAATCATTCACTAGATTTGTGAATTAGCAAAGGTAAATACTATACAGCCTGTATAGTCCTCAAAGTGGCATATAGAAAAAAATATCTTACCTGCTGACCATCTTCCATGCCATTACTGGCAAACTCAAAAACAAGCTCACTTTGTCCAACTGCTGCAGCCATATCAGGGCATTCCTTGTTCCTTAGAAACAGATCAAGCGCTTCACTCAACAGCACAGTAATCTCAGCCAAAGGTCTTTTTCATTCAAGGGTATCAACACTCATCAAACAGGTACCATTTCAGTAAACTTCAAAACCAGCAAAGAAGGATTATAAAATGCCTTTAAACTTTGCAGAGTGAGGAAGAATTCAATCCCTGATACTGTTCCTGTATTCAGTGGTTTCTTCTGAACATCAAGATATTCAATTCTGTGGAGAAGAGAAAAACAATCCTGTTACATTATAGCAAGTTCATTTCAGACCATTAAATGACTACAAAATGGCACTATATCACATATTTGGCAGTTTCCTTTAGTCTCTTGTGCATCAGCTGTGAAATCAACTGAAGTTTACAGAATTACTCTGTACCAGAGAAAGCTTGTTCAAGTCAAATAACTCACAACCAGAACAATAACGGTGTTTTTCTATGTAATGTTTTTACCAATGTCAGGTCTTTTGAAACAAACCCCAGACCTTCTCAGCAGTTCAGCACTAGATCCTCTCATACTTTTGTTTCACAAAACAGCTTTTAGCTTATTTCTGCTGTTTCGTTATCTCTACCGCAACCTTGCAAGAAGCAGGAAGGAAGCAGTATTGATCGCGTCATGGTAAACCAGAAAATGCAAACAAACATTCTCCATGGACCTATGCTAGCAATACAACTCTGCACCGAAAACAAAATGCTAAACACTGGCTAATGTTTAAAACTTTCCTTTGGTCAACAGACAAAATGTAAGATGGTTTCAGCTTGTACAAATAAGGCTAAACTAATTTCCTGCACAATGTTAATGGTTAACCAGTTGATTTGATGAATTATATCCGTTGTTTTTATATCTGACATTCTAATAAAATACAATGGTATCACAAGTATAGAATAGAATAGAGGGGTATAGGTGAGGCGAATAGGAAGGTTGGGAACTCATGTGGAGTACAGACATCAGCACGGACTAGTTGGGCGGAAGAGCCTGTTTCTTTGGAGTATCACTCTATGTCGCTAATGTATCAATTTACTCAATAGGAGTACAACCACACTGATAGCTTACTGTACAGGATTAATGTGAAAGGAGGAATTTTTTTATCCAGTACAGAGTTAACAGAATAGTCTAAATTTGCTAAATAGTGCAAGGTATGTGCAAACAAATGTATACACAGGAAGTTACAGGCAGTTGAGTAATTGTTTTCATTGGTTGTTAGTCACATGATTAAGAGCACCTGTGAATTCCTCTGCACTTACACAACTTGCAAATTGTACCCCGACAACTGACAACAACAACAACAAAAACAAAATTACATTTGAAAAGCACCTTTCACATTGGGGGATGTCCCAAGGCGATGGACAGACAGAGTTACGGATCCAAGCTGGGGGTTGGGGAGGATGGTGGGGGGGGGGGGGGGTGAAGCAGGGAAGTCGAAAGCATGGTCGAAGAGGAGGTCTTGAACGTGGCAAGGGAGGGGCGAGACGGAGGGACTGCGGGGTGGAGTTCCAGAGGGTGGGGGCAGAGTGGTGGAAGGCCTGCACACCAATAGTGGGGCAAGCAAGGCGGGGATGTGATGCAGGCCGGAGCCCGCACTGCGGAGGGAGCAAGCAGGATGGTAGGGGATTAGGAGGTTGGAGAGGTTGGGGGGAGCAAGACCATGGAGGGCTTTGAAGGTGAGGACCAGGATCTTGAACTGTATCCTCTGTGTGATGGGACGCCAGTCGAGTTGGGGAAGGATGGGGATGATAGGGTCACTGAGCCTAGTGCGGGAGAGGACACAGGCTGCAGAGTTCTGGATGATCTGCAGCCTGTGGAGGGAGGAGTTGGGGAGGCCGACAAGCAGTGAGTTTGCATAGTCGAGCCTCGATGTAATGAAATCATGTATGAGGGTTTTGGTAGCCTGCGGTGTGAGACAGTGGCGGAGCCGGACGACGTTGTGGAGGTGGGAAAAGACAGAGCGAGTCGTGGTGCAAATGTGGGGTAGAAAGGATAGTTGAGGGTCAAACAAGACCCCAAGGTTCCGGACTGGCTTAGTAAGGTGGAGTGTTTAACCACGGATGGTGATACTGTCAGTGCCTGAGGTGAGGAGGCGCTGACGGGAGTCAATCAGGAGGGTCTCGGTCTTGTTGACGTTCAACTGAAGAAAGTTAGCTCTCATCCAGGGCTTGATATCTGACAGACATTCTTTCAGGACAGCAGTGGTCCTGGAGTCAAGGGTGGAGGCAGAGAGGTAGAGTTGGGTGTCATCCGCATACATGTGGAAGTTGACTCCATGTCTGCAGATGATGTCACCAAGAGGCACTGACCAGGCAATTCAATCTTTCTGCATTTGTGTGAAGTTCACCCCAAGTGCTGCTGCTTTGGTATATCTGAAAATACTGTTCTGGTTTATACATTCTTTATCTGAACTCTAAGGCAAGATTTCTGTGGTATATTTTCAAAGCTCAAGAATCCCAGCTTCGCCAGTTGTTCCTCATTGCTCAGTTCTCTAACAATTGGGAACATTTCTGTTACTCTCGTCTGCATTGCATATAGCACCTGTTTGCTCATTATGTTAGATGTGGTTTAATTTTACACTTGAAACTGTTTCACAATCAGATTATACAAGGGAAACGAATACCAAGTTTATTCCACTCATTCGTAATGCCTTTACAGCTGTGTCGAGAGATGGGGAGGTGTGTTGGTCTCCCTGAGGTTGAACTAGCTCCAAAGAGACACTTGGCAAAGCCACATAGATTTGCAGTAATGTAAAACATTATTGAAGACTTAACAATCTTTCTTGTCTAACAATGAAACAGAAAGGTGTGCATCTGTTCTCCTCTCTGCAAGCTATCACCCTAAATGTTAACAAAACGCAAAATACTGCAGATGCTGGAAATCTGAAAACAAAAACAGACGTTGCTGGGAACACTCAGCAGGTCAGGCAGCATCTATGGCGAAAGGAAAGTGAGTCAATGTTTCCGGTCCACAACCCCTCATCAGAACACTTGGGCAGAACACCACATGACCCAACCCAAGTGTTCTGACGAAGGGTCATGGACCCGAAACGCTGACTCAGCTTCCTTTCTCCATAGATGCTGCCCGACCTGCTGAGTGTTCCCAGCGACTTCTATTTTTGCCCTAAATGTTAAGCCAGTCTAAACCAAACTAGGATTGTTACATATACCAATGTTGTGGAATAACTTCTGATATTGTTACACACAAACATTAAGTAATGCTTCATTAGAGGCAAATCTTCAGGTTTTCTCACACATGGAATAAACTGTACATTACATTGTTTCCACATTGGTGTTATCTATTTGAATAAATAACTTCGCAGTCCTTATCCATAGTATTTTCCATGCTAGAGTCCATTATCAAACATGTGGCCTGATGTGAGCAATAATGTAACAGGCCATGATTGAACTACCAACACAAGAAAAGCCAAACCCCCATGTTTACATCAGGAAATACAAGAGCTCATTAATCAGTGTCAGTCCATACTACAACAACTTGCATTTACGGAGGTTCCTTCACCTGAATTGTGTCTTGGAGGCTTAACAATGGTATGGTTTGACGCCACGCTGGAAAGAGAAGGGAGGTGACTGAAGGCACATTCGACGAGGAAAGTCTTCAGTTGTGATCTGAAGATGTGCAAAGGGGGTGCAAGATGGTGGCATTGAGGCAGAGAGTTCCCGAGATTTGGGACATCATGGTTGAAAGCACAGCCACCAATGGTAGAGTGAAGGGGACAAGTGACACGCATAAGTCCTGAGCCAGCTGAGCGGAGGCGGCGGGCAATGTAGTGGGGTGTGAGCAGATCAGAAAGATAGGGAGGTGCTAGGGTGTAAGATGAAGCTTCAATCTGTGCTTGTTCTACCTGCGGCATTCGCTCCTAGACAGTCCTGCCAGCTGGAACTCTGCCCGCTTTATACAGCAAGCAAAACATACTTGACTTGCTGAACTAGAATTATTCAAGACTGCATTAGATGACAGGAAATCTGTGGTTTCCCTGTTAATTCTCACTGCAATGGCGCCAAGCCATCATGTCCTGTCAATCACCAACAGGATGAACCTCAGTTCTTGGTCAAGTTCTGTAACGCCACTTAATAAAAGACAAACATCACCCCTCTGTACACCAACACTTCTGTCAATAATCACTTTGCTCCATATACTTATACACAGTATCAAATTACTCACTTTAAATTTAAAATGTGACAGGCACAGCCATTTGATATGATGGCAGAGTTAATCAAAAACATGTTGGAGCGGCTTTTTTTAAAAAAAAACACCTCAGGGAGGTGCTGAACTGGTTGTCAGAGCTCAAAACTGTTCAGAGTTATAGGGGTAAATACAAATTAGATCTAAGCTCTGCCAATGAGGGTGGTGCCAAATAGAGGCTGCAACAACTCCATATATGGCAGAGGAATACAGAAAACCTTCGCTCCAGACGGCAACACACTTTCAAGTCATGAAAACATCATTCGCCTCCAATGATTCAGTTACTATTATGGGCACTGTGTGATCAAAGAAAAACAATCATTTCTGAGTGGCTCAATGGTGCGATGTTAAAAGATTCATGGGTGTGATTTCCCCAAGGTGATTGGCGGTACATTTACAGCTGTTTGTACTGTCTATGTATCAGCTTCGGGCCAAACTGTGAGTTTTTCCCCTCAGTGGTGGAAATAAACAAATTAAATAATGTAATATTTGATTCATGATCTCAATAATGCAATAATCAAGTTTATCTGGGAGAGGTTAAAAAGCAGAGCAATTCTGATCTAAAGGGATTCAAGCTTTAAGACTTTGTTCTTTTTCTCCTCTGTGCCTTTCTTTTTTGCTGTGATATTCTTCCCGTTGCTGACACTCCAAATACCCAACTGGGGGAATGCTGTAATAATAATAATCCTTACATTTGATATAACGCCTTATCATGTCTTCCAGATGTCTCAAAGCACTTCACAAAATTTACTTTAAAGTGAATTAACTGTATATTTTGTGGACGAAACACGGAGGGAGGCCAATTGCGCACAGCAATGTCTCACAAACAGTTGTGGATTGAGTGACCAAATTATTATTTTTTTTAAAAAGGAATAATTACCCCAAGAAAAGCGATCTGGGTTCCTACATACTGCAAGGTAAACAGAGGTTTGTGGAGTAAGGAAACTTGCCCAGTGTTTCGCCCTGTCTAGGAATCAAACCCAGGTCCTCTCACTTGTGAGGCGAGTGCTCTAACCACTAAGCTACAGGATT